TAAAGGTGTCCATGGAGAGTAATAAAGAGATGTTGCAATTGGAGATTGCAAGGCGGCTTAAACTTAATTTGCAAGATAAGGGCCCCCTTGATAGAGTTGCTGAAAGCATATCAGAAGAGTTGAAAGATAAAAAGTATTTGCTCCTTCTGGATGATGTGATGGACTTCATTGATCTGCAAGCAATTGGAATCCCTGGGAATAACAATGGTAGCAAGGTTGTATTGACAACTGAATTTCGTCACATTTGCCATTCCATAGCAGACAAAATGGTCAAAGTTAATCCATTATCTTCAGATGAAGCTTGGCTAATGTTTCAACAAATAGTAACTGACAAAATTGATCTCCCAGATGTTGAACCAGTTGCCCAACAAGTAGCCGAGGAATGTGATGGACTCCCACTCTTAGTCAACATAGTGGCCAATTCCTTCAAATTGAAAAACAGTGTTGATGAATGGAGAAATGGTTTGGAAGAGCTCCGAAATTGGTCAGAAGTTGAGATCCCAGGTTTGACAGAAATACATACATTCATAAAGTTCTGTTATGATGACTTAAAAGATGAGAAAAAAAGGATATGCCTGCTATATGTTGCATTACATCTAGCTGACACTATGATATCCACAGATTATTTGGTCAAATGTTGGGCAGCTGAAAGGTTCCTTGGCAGTATTGATGACAGGAGGAGCTTCCGCACAGCATGTGATAAGGGATATGCCATATTGGGGCATCTATCTAATGTGTCATTACTACATACAGATAAAAAGATGGAACATGTCCACGTGAGCAACATGGTGCGTCAAGTTGCCTTTCATATATCCTCAGAAGAGAATGACTGTAAGTTTCTAATTGGAGAGACCAAAACTTCAACAGCATCGCTAGAGGTGAATGATTGGGAACAAGCAAAAAGGATATTTATGATTGACACAAAACTAGATCACTTGCCAAACACCCCAAGATGCAGCATGCTTTTGTCACTACTTTTACAAAAAAATCCTGACTTGAAAACAATTCCTCCATTATTCTTTAGGACCATGAAGAAGCTCTTGGTTTTGAATTTGTACAGCACAGGAATTGGGAGTCTTCCACCATCCTTTGAATGCCTGACTGGACTTAAGGCACTCTTTTTAAACAATTGTACCAGTTTGACAAGCTTGCCTCTTCAAATCGAAAAACTTTGTCTTCTTGAGGTGCTTGACATTCAAGGCTGCAAGATAATCTTCATACCACCTTCAATCGGGAAGCTAGTTTATCTGAGGTGTTTGAAGGTTTCATACTATAAACCAAGCTCTCAAAATGGTTGTGAAGAATTGGAGGTGGATTATAATGTGATTTCAAGACTTTCCAGATTGGAAGAACTGGAAATTGATGTGATCTCTTGTGCTCAGTGGTGCATTGAGGCAACCAATATTATTCTGCATGTCATTGCTTCCTTGGAGAAGCTAACTTCTCTCAAAATTTATTTTCCAAAATTGGAGCTCCTTCAAAATTTGTTGGAAAACAAGACAGAATGGCAAGGCCGACAAAAGTTGACTTCATTTTGGTTTTTTGTTGGGCGCCCAAGTAGTAACCCTCCTGAAATTCTTGATTGTTTCAATTACAAAATAAATAGATACTTGAGATATTGTCACAATGGAAATGATCACAGTTCCACCATTTCTAATGTGTTTCCAGAAACAGATGCACTAGAATTGATTGGTCATGACAATATTAGATGTCTGTTAGACTTTATACAAGCCCCAGGCCTAAATAGAGTTCGTGGTTGCCTAGTTGAAGGATGCAATAGCATGGAACTTGTTGTGGATGACAATAATGCAAGAGATACGAACATCCTATCATCCTTGGAACAGTTGCATTTAAGGAACTTGCCAGTTTTGAGAAGCATTTTGGAGGGCCCAATTTCAGAACGAAGTCTCTCAAAACTACATACCATAGTAGTTGAAAGTTGCCCAATGTTGACAAAAATATCCTCTGATGGTTTGATATTCGCAACAATCAAAAAACTTGTCATTCAAAATTGCTCCAAGATTGAAGTATTGATTATGAATACTGGGGGTTATGGATCAATGCAAAATTTAGAAATTCTGGAACTTCTGGACATGGCACAATTTAGAACCATAAGTGAAGACACATCATTGGCATGGTCCCAGTTAAAGGAGCTTCACATATACAAGTGTCCTGAGCTGAAAATGCTTCCTTTCAAGAAAGGAAATGCTAAAGAGTTAAAGTTGATTAAAGGCGAACAAACCTGGTGGGATGCCTTGGAATGGGAAAATAATGAGATAAGAGAACACTTCCAATCAATTTACATTCCCAAGGTGAGTGTTTTTCTTAGAGGCCCTGCTTAGGAGTTAGGAGAAAAGGTAGAAAGAGAAAAGGAGAGAAAGCTGCTGCAATAATATTCATTGGCCTTTCTGAAGCCTAATAATCCTTAATTCCACCTTTCTATCATTTTTGCTGTTTCACTTCCCTGTCCTGTTTTGATCATGTTTGCCCTATTATGTCTCGTTGGGAACTTGTGCAGACCAGTCATGGTATTATGTTTTCTTATATGAGAGACTTCGGTGTGTTGTTTGGTCTACTTATTGAGAGATTTAGAATCATTACTTCTTGGATTGGTGTGTGTAATTCAGTTATCAGATCATCAACAACTTTTCTTGCTTAGTGTTGTTTGGACTACTTATTGAGAGATTTAGAATCATTACTTCTTGTATTGCTGTGTGTAATTTAGTTATCAGATCATCAACAACCTTTCTTTCTTTAGATTTTAAAGAGATTTAGAATCATTACTTCTTGTATTGCTGTGTGTAATTCAGTTATCAGATTATCATCAACTTTTCTTGCTTTAGACTTCAGAGAGATTGAAAATTAGCTCGTCGAAAGACACTGATATAGATCGTGAAGGCAAATATTGACGCACTATGTCTGATGAAATTAGGCTCTCTGTTGTAACTATGTTTCATTGTTGACCCATCTTCTTTCCTATTTTTCCTCCTAATTTCTCGATCACCAACTAAGAGCTTGTACTGCTGCATGGCTTGAAATTTGAAGTGCTCTTCTTTTTCATTAAGGATGGCGGACTTCTCATACTTCCATTGTTTACTCATTTTTCAAATTTTCCTTTTCTCCTAATTTTTTTCTCAATCATAAGCCTTTTTTCAAGATCAAGAGTCAAAATTCCTATGCTAGGTAACTAACTTCATTTGTTTAAGAAATTCAGCTTACACGGCTCTGCCTTTTTCCAATAAATTCAGACAAAATTTCCACGAGGACTTCTTCATCCTTAACATCTACGGTTCCACTAAGCATTATCTTTTTCTTATTAAACCTTATAATACGTTCTCTTGAATTCCTTTCTTATTTTCTTTGTAGTTTTGTCCAACAAGTGCTTCTTCCCCTTTTTTTATTTTTATTATTATTTTTTTTTTATTGAAGTTTGTTGTCCCTCTATATTACCATATAACTTCCATGACAAACATTTCCCCTTATAGATTCATTCATCTCCAGATAAAGGGTGGAAAAAAAAATGCAATGGAAATTCTTGTGAGGCAATTTTCTCTTGCAATTGATCAGCATCAATATTATATTTTCATCACATTTCTCTTCAAACAAACTGCTCTGCTTAAAATAGGAACATAAATTACGATGCTTATTTTTTTTTATATTTTTTTTTATCTACTCTCCATTTGTGGGGTTCTTTGAAATATTTTTTATATACTGAGAGACACAAACTCTTATATTTCAAATTCTTGTTGGAGGATACATGATTTTCCATGGAAAGTGAATTTGGAAAAGATTTTCTCTCTAGTGCTGTGGCAGGGACAGTAGTAGAAGCTGGCAAAGGGGGTCGTAAATATGCTAACCAGATGGTCAAGTCATTGAAAATTTTGAAGAGAAACTATGAACATTGAAGAGTGAAGTAGCAAGTCTTCTGGTCATAAGGGAGGACTATTTGAGCGCAATTCACAATGATACTGCTGTTGACATTCTGGGAAAGAAGACTTCAGTACTTGAGAAAATACACACCCCAATTGCATCAAATTCTGCTTTTGGAACAAATCTGCTTCAGGAAGGAGGAGAACATGGTGAATTTCTTTAGATATCTTGAAGGAATTGAATATCAGATGTGGAACACCTACGACGTTCATTTCTATGCATCTTTTGTGTCAATAATATTATTTCCGAAACCTCAACTCAGCATTCAAAGAGACTTTGCAGCTTCAGTAATTATGCATGATCCTATTAAAAGGAAGCTTTTACATGATGGACAGTGCGTCCCAAGGAAGGTTCTTGAGCTGTTCCTTATGATATTTGAAGTAAATTCCTATTGCCTTCATAGCTCAGATCGGTGGAAAGACTTGAATCCAAAATTTGTTCTTCAAGTTTATAGAGATATGGTCGCCACTGGTGAACAAGTATGCAGAAGCCGTTTTGCCCACAGTTTACGTTGCAATGGCATAAAAGGATCAATTTGATAGAGATGGTGATGGAATGATTGAGAATGATAGATTTCCCAATCAGACATAATACATGGTCCGAGTCTGGTGTCAATACGGGTTGTGGTGGGCCATGGGTTGCAACCCTGCAGGCTGCATCAGCCTTGGCACATGAAGTAGGTGATAAGGGCTCGGAGTATTACTTTTGGTGTTAGCTGCAGAAGGCAAAAGCTGTACATGAAAAATTGTGGAATAGTTCTTACTTCAGTTACGACAAAAGCATTATGGAGCATGCAGTGCGACCATCAAGAAGAAACCATTATAATTTAGGTATGAAGAAGTATGGAGCATGAAATGTGACCATCAAGAAGAAAGCAACAATAAGAAGAGTAATATAAAGCCAATCTTGTGAATCATTATTAAGAAACATCTAATAGAAATATGTCTAAGATAGAGATTAGTAATTCTGTATCACATAAATTCCAAAGACACAATATAGCTTTTCAGAACAAACTTGCAGCCGAATTGGAAGGCTTAAATCTCAGCAATGCCTCTGCCACTTCATTAGAATCTGAGTAATATGCACAGGGCGATGTCTTTGCATCTGGTATGCTGGTTCCTAGATTCATAGTACCGTCCAAGAGCCTGCGACGCATCAACAGAAAGAAAATGAAAGTGTGAAAATTGTAGAATATTCTGAACAAAGTTTTAGCAATATATCTCTGTAAGAGTACAAGGAGTATAAAATCATTAGACTTTGCAAATATTTGATCCCTAAATATACTGGTAAAATAGAATAAAATAAAAGAATTCCTAGGGTTGAATAGAAAAATTACCAAGCCATTAAATAACCATTCTTGTTTGATCTCTTGAGGGAATTCTACTAATCTCTTCCATTTGTGTCATCACATCTTTCTCCCTTGTAATTGGGCAAAAAATGCTCTGGAGATAATCAAGCCGATTCCCCCACTCTGATTCGTTCCACTTCAATGCTTCCCACCACTTACTTTCTCCTCTGATGACTTCCAATCCTCTGCTTGACATTTCCCCTGTAGAAAGACTCTCAAGCTTTGGGCAATTGTAAAAGCCTATTTTTTCTAGATTCGGTGCAATTTGAACTCCGCTAGAAATGCTGGCCAGTTTTGGTAGGTAAAGTAGTGATATCCTTTTCAAGCTAGGAAGATAAAGTACTTGAGGATCAATGAATTCATTGGTCATTAGGCTTACTACAGTGGTCACTTCAGGGCAGTCTTTTACAATTAGCACTTCCAACATGCCAAGATTAGCAAGCAAAGTGGGATGGAAAATGACACTCAATTTGGGGCACATATCAAGTCTAAGGAACTTCAAGCAAGGTAGACACTGCTTATCATTGGTTGGGGTTCTCCAAATGTTCACCAAGTTCTTCAGGTAATAGATATGCAAGTATTGTAAATTCAAAAGTGCAGCTTGTTGAGCAAAATTTGACCAACCTTCAGATTCAGAATTGTTTGGATCATCTTCTAACATATCATCTTGTTCTTCATCAAACTCTCTCTCACTTGTAAAGGATTGGGTTTCACTCCAAAGAGTAGTTGACCCAGCTCCAGATGCAGAACTGTTTGGACCATATTCCAAAATATTAGTGTGTTCTTTGTTAGACTCCACACCACTTATAATGGTTTGGATTTCATTACATTCCACCAATAAGCAAAACTTTAGCTTCCGCATATTCTCAATCCCAAAATCACACAAACTTCTAGCAGTGGCATGACAGTCCAGGTGGAATGCTTTTGTACAATTAAGT